TTAAATAAGATGTAGATTGGATGTAAAATGCGAAACAATGGAGTTTGTGTTTGAATGTGAACACTTTCGAACAACTGACGGCATCGTCAAATCAGCTCATTTTATCCAACTTTAAAATTTGATTAAATCGCACTGAATCATTTCCCCAAAAAATCCTTTGGAGATCGAAAAGAACCACACTTCGCCTTCCAAAAGCCAGATTTTCAGTCGATTATTTTGTATAGCACATAGTTAAATAACAGGTTACTTTTGACCTATTTTTAATCTTGTTAGAAGAAGGTCGGTTAATTTCAATGAGATTGTGTAAATAAACGATCAAGAATTGCTCAAATTGCTGTCAACATATTTATTGATGTTGTTTTTCAAGATTTGGTAATATTTATCGGTTCAAGTGTTTTCAATTCGTGGCGCGACGCTCCGAGATTTGTCTGAAATTTGAGCTTCAGAAGCGGCATTTGGTCGAAATTCAGTTATTATCGATTTTCTGGAAAATAAATCGATATTCAGCCAAACGAAGTATGCAGTGCTTTGTTTCACCATAAGGCCTACCTAACTTGAGAATATGAGCCGAATCAATCTTTTGGCTGTTGCCACCAAATGTTTGACCGTTGGTAACATTCGCTCTTAAGCCTCATCTTGGAGCAAGTTCTCGTTCCTAGCATCAGCGTCTTTTGGTCACATGGCACATCAAACGAGTGGATCTGGGATGAGTCTCTACCTCATTCCAAAATGGAGGAAATGCATCATTATTTTTTGTCATGCTTTTTTGCCTTCTATGCCTCGTTTAAGGCTTAAAATCACACTAAGTTTAGAGGATACGATCGAGGCAAAGGGGCTAATCATCCTAACTATGAAATGATATAAAAATTAGAACCTTTTATTTGTTGTTGAAAAAAGATCAATTTTCTATGATGTGCTATCGTGGAGAAAGTTGATGATGATCGCTGTTTTTAAAATTCAGAGTATGACTTGCAACTTACGTCTATAATAGCAGTCGAAGATCATGTGCCCTTGCGGGTCTCTCGTCACGCCATGGGGATGAGCGCCACCATAATCATTTTTCATCACGAACTTTGAGTACTCTGTTTCGTAATATATGTATTCTAGACTAGCCTTCGCTCTCCTGACCAACTGGCAGACCCTGCTCCCAAAAGCTATCAGATAGAATGGCGAGGTCAACGGGAAATCGATGGGAGTCTGGGTCGAGCCAAGAACACTGCAGCAGTATGAGATAAGTCTATTGGGGCGAAGAAAGTACATTACTTATAGAGTCTGCCATGCGTAGTGCATGATGTTAAAATAAGATAAGGAACAGATCATCATTTATCGCCTGGAGGTGGGGGGGGGGGAAGTAAAATCTACCTGATTACCCCTACCCGCCCCGAAGCTCTGCAAAATTTTCATGACCTCCACCGTTGGAAGTCAATTTTCTTTAGTTCCCTCTTTATATAGTCGACAGCTGATCCCCCTCCATCCCTCCTCGAAAACCATGTGATCCCTCCAAAATCTCCCCAGGGGTCCCTATTGATTACCAGTTTCTAACTGTAAAGGACGTCAGTAGCAATAACAGAAAAATAAAAAGGACGGTTGCAAAAATGGCATGAAATGAATAAATAAATAAGAAAATTAACGAGAGGAGATCTTTTAAAGGATTTTACGTTATTAAATCGTTTCTTCCGAGGCCTACAATCACTTGATAAATTAACACAGCATTTTTATCACTCAACTTTTTGCCGTCGTCAGGCGATTTGGATTTAGTTTAAAAAGTATCCTCTATGATGCTCGAGAGATTACCCTTGCCCATTTAGCTGATAAAAGATTCTAGGTGAACTTAAAGCTTTTTAAGTACAAAGGTGCTTAAATATAATTTTTCTAACTGAATGAGGTGCTTAACCCTTCTCACCCCAGAAGTGATTAACATGTAACTTCTTCCTATACTATCCATACATTATCCTGCAAACAGGTTATGAGAATATACGAACGTATCAGGTAGAGGTTGTTATCTTGATCTAACGCTAAATTCTTGTGACTAATTTAAAAGAGAATGTGTAGCAGCTATAGGGAAGAATTAATAATCAGGTCTTGGGGGTTGAAGGGGTAACCACACAGTGAATACTCACGTATCCTGGTCATAAATCCCTGTCGGTAATGTCCCCCTCCTCGTGTTCTTATTGTAAATGATGATGGTGTTCTCATCGTTCCACTGGACCCAACCGTCACGCATACCCGAGGGGCATGTTTTCCCCCGCAGATAAATACAGTACTTCCCTGAGGGCCACTGGTTCCGGTTGAAATCATTCAAGGTGGATGTTTTCATACAGAATGACACGGCTGGACGTCTCCATCTTTTATGAAAGCGAAAGGAAACGAGGCGGCCATTTATTTTTGTGTTTGTTTGTTTGTTTTGTTTTTTCGGACTCTTTCGTCAAACAGGCCGATCCCAAACTAAGTGCAAGTGTTGGGAAAAAAGCTTAGCCCAAGTTAATAGTGAAAAAGGCATATCTAAGGCGTAAGTCGTAAAAGGAGCGTAAAGATTTTTCTTATCTCCACTGTGCCATTTTGTGTTAATCTTGGTCAACCGTTAGCCGTAAAATGGCCAATTTCTTATCTCCAATATGCCATTTTGTGTACATCAGGGTCGACCGTTGGCGCTGTAATGGCCAATACTCTAACCGTCAGCATTCGAAGCCTTCACCCCATAGCCGGACCCTCTTAAGACAGCTGCAGTATTTAAGATGAGTAACACGTTGTTCATCTATGATCCAACTAGATTTTTCTCTCAAGTTTGCCTCCTTACCCTCCCTCTTGTATACGACCCCGTTACCCCGCCTCCATTTGGTATTACGACGGGAACATGGCTCAAAATCCGTCTATTGGATTTTTCTTCTTAAATCATTCGTCAGATTCAATTTTTGATATAACGTATCTAGGAGAAGTAGTCGAGAACAGCAGAGAATAAGAAAAATCGGATGGAAGTCTTTGAGGTACAAAACGTTACGCTTTGAATGCTACTTAGTACACACACTCATCTGTGTGCAAGATGTACGCATTGATACTAATTAAAAAAGTAAAATTATTTTCAATGATGCACAAAAATACGAAGACTGGAATTGAAAAAGGTTAATGGTACCCCTTCCCTTGTTCCAAACCTTTTCCTGAATCCCGTTTTCATTCAGCTTTCAGGACTGATGATGGGTGCACAAATATGATAAACACTTAAAACGTCAATAATCCTGCTGTATTTTTTTATTTCGATTGAATAGTCAGAGCCATTTAACAACAGTATGTATATCTCATTATACGTTTTTTTTGTGTATTTTAACGAGCCCGTAATACAAAATACAATAAACGAGTAAAAATACTCAGCGATTCTACACAACAAAGCGTTATTTGTATTCTACGAAGCACATTTGGATATAATATTGTTTATCATAACTTCACGTGCAAAGACTTGGAGAGCCTGGAAACTAGGAATTTACTCTTGAACTGTTTCCCTTTACAGGAAAAGCTCGTAATATTCAATAGGGTTTAATTTGTGAAGAGAACTGAGAACAAACATAGCAATGGCTGCTGAAGATAATTGGCAAACGAAACTTCCAACTCTCGTCGAAAGAACTGAATTCATTTTCAACAACGAGTTATTGAGTGATGTAAAGTTTGTCGTTCCGGTGTCGACTGGTGAAAGCGAAAGTAAGAAGGTGATCCCAGCTCACAAGTTTGTGCTTGCAATTAGTAGTCCTGTATTCTTTGCCATGTTCTATGGTCAAATGGCGGAGACTATAGACTCTATTGAACTGCCTGACTGTGGGTACGAGAGTCTGTTGGAACTGTTCCGTTTCATGTACAGTGACAAAGTGAATCTAAGCGGAAATAATGTGATGCAAGTGTTGTGCTTGGCGAACAATTACAAGATGCCTTCGCTCACCGAGAAATGCACAGAGTATCTTCGTGACAGCCTGAAGGCCTCGAACGTGTTTTGTATTCTGCCACACGCACAGAAATTTGAGGACAAAGATTTAGAAGATCGATGCTGGAAAGTAATTAAGGAGCAGACCGACGAAGTTGTGGCGTCAGACGAATTTGTTACAATTGAGCGATCTTTTGTGGAATCTGTTGTGAAGCGAGAAGAGTTGAATGTAGAGGAAGTGGAACTTTTCAAAGCTGTTGATCGCTGGGCCACAAAGGAATGTGAAAGACAAGGGGTTACTTCCGATGGGGAGACTAAGAGAAGACTTCTGGGAGAGGAAATTGTGAAAGGAATACGCTTTCCGCTTATGCCACAGAAGGATTTTATAACGGTCGTATTTGATTCGCGAATCTTGAGTTATGAAGAGTTTGGAACCATGATAAAATACTACAATGGTGGTTTAACTACTCCTTTGCCGTTCTTAAAAGCCTGCAGATTTGATTCCACTACGCAACGATGCAACAGATTTCAAACGTTTCGTGCACCATATAATCTCTGGGGTTACAGTGGTAATGCTGACTCTATCATTCTCACCGTCGAGAAGCCTGTTAAGGTTTACGGAGTTCAGCATTTTGGCTCCGAAGGCGGTGAGTATACAGTTACAACGGACATTGTTGATCTCATAACGAACACTTCGCTCGTGAGTCGAGCTGGAAATTATGCATCAGAAATTATGCATCAGAATTATGCATCAGAATTATTCGATACACATGCCTATTACGGCTTTGATGTAATGTTCGATCGTCCAGTTATTTTGAAGGCAGATAAAGAGTACAAGGTAAAGTCGCTCATCAAGGGCCCCAAATCGTGGTACGGCGAAAGAGGGCAAACACCAGTGGAGTGCCAGGGAGTGCGATTTACGTTTCGTAACTCGGCACCTGAAAATAATGGGACCAGTGAAACAGCAGGACAGTTTCCTGGAGTTTTGTTTACAGTTCCAAGTAGAAATTCTAAGGTAACCTGAACCATTTCTGTTAAAGTAGAGCCCAGTGAAAGTCTATTGGGTCAGGTAGTATTGGATCAATTGGATCATTCTTCTACGTTTATATAAAGTATAATGAATTTTAACAACGCAGACGAAGTTTCTGGTAGCTAAATGTTGTTTTATTCAATGGAATTAAATATTTGGTTTGCCTTTTTTTTGCTTGCTTGCAAATGTAAAAGGTCCAGTTTAAATATATACCACGTTAGGAACTTCAGACAAATACGTACCGATAAAGTTGCAAACTAATAAATATCATTTGTGAAAATTTTTTGTCGCAAACTCAGCGAGGACACTTTAGCACAGGCATCACGATTGGGACAAAAGAAATCGGACAAAAGCGAGCCGACGCTGTCAGATTCATTGGTGTTATCAACTGAGTTTATAATGCAGTAAATGGTTTGAACCCGGGGTAACATGTGAAGGTGTAGTCTGATCGTCCGGGTGAGTGTAGTTGTACCCACACCAACGCAGCACCAGTTTCTTTAGAAGGTTATTCCCATAGTCAGTAGGAGGCTTATATTAATTATTAAAAACTGGATCATTGGATAATGCAATTCAAGACTTTTCATTGGCTTAGCCATTATGGTATATGAGCCAATATACCATAAACTACGATATGGTAAGCGTATGCATAAGCTTAGAATTGAAAGGGAGCTAAAAATTTAATAAAATTTAATAATTTAATGTAGGGTTTTTAATAAAACAATTATTCCACTCGCGTTTGTTGGATATGAGATGATTATAGCCAACTCGGCGCTACGCGCCTCGTTGGCTATCTATCATCTCATATCCAACGCGCGCTCGTGGAATAATTGTTAATTAGACCGACGATCTCATCGCGCTCACCGGCTGACTGCACTGTTCTGAAGATGTGCATATGGCAAGAGAAGAGTCGACCCCTTGCGTTAAATAAAAAAGGAATGACGTGAGAAAAGACGAAAACGGAGGTTTTCCCTCAATTGAAGGAAATACAAATATTCCGTTTCTCTTGACCCCTTCATCTTCTGACAAATTCAACTTCGTCTGTCTGCTTTTCAATCACTTCTCAGCACTTTTTGTACCATTTTGCACTCGGACGCAAGTCACTGAAATATGGCTCTTGCTTTCCTATTCTGTTCGACAGGACTGTAACTGAACAACGGTCTTGAATGATTTCGAAACCAGAATAATAACCGTCTATGTTTACTTCTCGAGCTTTTCGATAATAATAAAGATGATAATAATAATGAAAATAAAATGATTATTGTGATAACAATGATAACAGTAATTCTATTAATAAGATCCTAACAAATGGCAGCTTCCTAAGTGGTGCCCCTCTCATAAACGCTCTTCACTCTTTCTTTGACGTCTTCGTCCCTGTTATGCTGGGAAGTCTGTTTTGATGTAATTCTGCTATATCTTTTATTTCGACTGAATAGTCAGATTCATCCAACAATAATGTTATTCAGGCCTTTGGAATATATCAGATTACACGAAACCGTTTGTTTATCATAACTTCGCGGGCAAAGACTTGGAGAGCCTGGAAATGAGGAATTTACCCTTGCGGAAGAACTTGTGTGACAAGAACTGTTTCCCTACGCAGGATGAGTTCACTGAGTTCAAAAGGGTTTAACTTGTAAAGAGAACTGAGAACAAATATAACAATGGCTGCTGAAGATAATTGGCGGACGAAACTTCCAACTCTCATCGAAAGAACTGCGTTCATTTTCAACAGCGATTTACTGCATGAGCGATGTGAAGTTTGTCGTTCCAGTGTCGACTGGTGAAAGCGCGGAAAGTAAGATGCCGGGTGATCCCAGCTCACAAGTTTGTTCTCGCTATCAGTAGTCCTGTGTTCTTTGCCATGTTCTATGGTCAAATGGCGGGGAAACAAAGACTCTATTGAACTACCTGACTGTTAGTACGAGAGTCTGTTGGAGTTGTTGCGTTTCTTGTATGGTGACAAAGTGAATTTAAGTCGAAATAATGTGATGCAAGTGTTGTACTTGGCGAACAAATACATGGTGCCTTCGCTTGCCGAGAAATGCACAGAGTACCTTCGTGACAACCTGAAGGCCTCGAACATGTTTTGTATTCTGCCACACGCACAGAAATTTGAAGATAAAGATTTAGAAGATCGATGCTGGAAAGTAATTTAATTGAGGAGCACAGAGACGAAGTTGTGACGTCAGAGGAATTTGTTACAGTTGAGTGATCTGTAGTTGAATCTGTTGTGAAGCGAGAGGAGTTGGACGTGACGGAAGTAGAATTGTACAAGGCAGTCGATCGCTGGGCCACAGAAGAAGTTCAAAGGCGAGGGTTAACTCCTGATGGAGAAACAAAGAGACGAATTCTTGGTGAGGAGATTCTTAAAGCAATACGATTTCCACTGATATCACAAAAGGATTTTCTGTCAGGTTGGAAACATGATGAAACATTACAGCGGGGTTTTAAAATCTCCCTTGCTATTTAGGGATACCGCTAGGAGCCTTTTATTTCGATGTATCCGGTTTTGAAAAGTTCAGTCTGCCAGTTGGTCAGGGGGTAACTTGGAGTTACAAAGATAGAGCTGACAGTGTTGAGTTTACAATCAACAAGCCAATCTTGTTACACGGTGTTCAGCATTTTGGCTCAGACGGTATGGAAAGTTTACTGTTTCCAGTACCGAGGTTAAAGTTACAGCCCACAGTTCTTGTCTCGGAAAGGAATCAGGAACATATTCTTCGAAAAAGGACGAGATTGATAATTATTATGGCTTTGATGCAGTGTTTGATCTTCCAATTCGTTTAGAGGCTCATGAAAGTTATAGGCTTGTGTCGCTTATCAAGGGTCCTTCATCATGGTGTGGAGAAGAGGGACAAACGTCTCTTAATTTCCGAGGAGTGCAGGTCAATTTTATGCCCTCAGTGGAAAGTAAAAGTAATACTTCGGAAACAAGAGTGGGTCAATTTCCAGCTTTCATATTTAGTCGAACTTAAAGTATAGGTCGGAGGTGAGGAAATAATTTTTGGATTGTTTTGTTGCTTACAGTGGTTGAAAATAAAAATTCTTGAATGCATCATTTTATCCCTTGAGATCTTTAACGTGTTCAGAAGAAAATAAGTCGCCACAAATGTTGGAATGCTTTTGTAATAGTTAATCCATTACACGAGGGGAAATCGTTAGAATTCCGCAGAGACTTTGGGGGGTGTGGAGAAGTAAATTTTATTGTGAGAAAACCAAAATTCCTCAGGCCCTACCCCCTCCCAGATTCAAGTATGCGATGTGTGAGTTTTCAAGGCTTATTACTGTTCAATGCCTTTCAAATTGACGTATTTGGGGCAAGATGTGGCTGTACAAGATTAATTTATCGCATGAACATAGCCTGAAAACAAGGGACAAAAGAATGAAAAAAAAAAGCTGCGAATACATAAAATTCCACTCTAATATCAACCTAGAATCCACCCGCAAGATGTAGTAACGGGATAATTGAAAAACGTTTCATAGACTCGACGCTCGTAACATAAACTTTAAATTCAGTTTTCATCTCCTCCGTTCCCGTTGCCAAAGAACCGGCTTAATTATTTTTTCCGGCTTTTCTTCGAATTTTTAACTGTTTCTTAACTTCTCAAAACTCGGAACCCTTCCCTTAGCTTTCGAAAAAAAATCCTCTCTTATAAATCGTCGTGGTGAAATGGTGAAAAAGTGCGGACAGAAGAAAATAATGAGAAAAACTACGTTTTCACACTAGTGGATGGCTGCTGTCAATGATCAACATGCCCGTGCGTCACGGTAATTCAATTGGATTTTGCCCGAATAGTTTGTCACTTTCGAATTTTCCAATATTGATAAAATTTACCAAGGAAAAGCAATAGAGATCAGCAGGGAATAAGAAATATCGGATGGAGGTACTTGAATTACAAAACTGCTCAAAACGTTCATGCTGTGAGTTATCACGATGTGTTTACTAAGTTGAATGATCTGCGTGAGCCTGTTTTCGTATTAAAAATTAAAAAAAAAACAAACATAAATGAGTAAAGTAGAAGAAGAAAGAAAATCGCGTTAAGGCTCCAGAGGAATTAGATACAAAAACTTATCGATGAGCTTCCAAACTGGTAGGTATTATTCGTGAAAAGTGGTATCTTTCATAATGAACATGAATTCAGTTGAGAAAATTGATAACAAAGCATAAGATTGCGACTACAAAAGTTAAGACAATGGTGAGCCGAAGGTTTCATTTTTTACATCACGCATAGACCTACCATCCTATCGAGCTCATTGGAAATTGCAAGCTGCACTGTTCTGGGGGTGTGCAGTTCGCAAAGAAAATGACGACCCCTTGCTTCAAATGAAAAAAATAATTGTAAGGATGAAAAACAAACACATATTGTATTGCAGTTGAGAAGAAACCGGCCAAAAAGGGGGGTTTCCCTTGGTTCATAGGCTTAGGAAAGTCTCATTTCATCTGACCTCCTCGTTGTCTGATAAAACGAAATGAAAATCGCATTACTTCCGTGGGACTTTCCCTTTATTTTCAAAAATACAAAAAGCTATTGTCAGCATGCATTTCTTGCACCATTCTTAGCTGACGCGAGTCACACAAAGACCTCTTCGTCGTGGTACAAAACGAAATGAAGACCTCTGTACTTCCGTGGGACTTTCCCTTCTTTTCAAAAGTACAAAAACCTATTGTCGGCATTTCTTGCCGGATTTGCCCCATTTTACGCTGACACGAAGTAAAGTAAGTCTTGTGTAAATGTTAAGATACACCAGTTAATTATACGTGACAGTGGCCAACTCGAAAGCTATGCTAGTTTGGTCACTGTGCACATTTTACTTTTGATTATTGATGTAATTTACTGTTTTTTATATATTCTGACTTTTATAAAAAAATAAGGAACTTTACTAATTTTAAACTACGGAAACATTTGGTAGAAACATTAATTCTGTCTAAAATAAGCTACTGTGACATTGTTTGTTATCCACTACCAAAGTTCCTCTCAGCTAGACTACAAAGGCTCCAGTTCGCTATGGCTAGTTTCATCACTTGTAAATATGTAAACAGTATATCTACCATTTTGGATCTTGGCTGGCTACCTATCCTGGAGCTAAGGGACTACTCACTACTAAAGACTATTTTTAAAGCACTGTATTCTGATAACTGGCCCTCCCATTTAAATTTGCAAGTCGTTAAACCCGTTAGGCATCTCCGTTCCAGTGTTGCTCCAAGGCTTTATGTTCCATTTGTACAGGGCACCTTTCAGCATTCAGCAGCCATGATTTTTAACGAATTGCCAGCAAATATAAGGAATTGCACAGATTTTAAAGAATACTGCAGGCTCTGCAAGGCGTTCTTGAAGGCGCGCGCTTTGTCTTCCTTGTAAAGATATAGAAACAACCACCACCACCAACCAATATATTCTGCATATTTACTTTCATGTATAGTTTTTATTACAATTTAGTTAGTCATTATAAATTAGTTTTAATATTAAATTTTAGTATCGAAGGCCTTCACAGATGAAGAGCCACACCTTTTTATGTGGATATACTGTGAATAAACCGTTATTATTGTTATTATTATTATTATAATCTGTAGTAACCTCTTGAAATAGTGCGAATAAAGAGTTTACAGCAGTTTACAGAAACGCCAAGGATTCTTCCCCCTTTAGTTAAAGATGTTGAATATGCAAGGGTGAGAGATATAAATTTCAAATCTGCTAAGAAACTTAAGTCTGAACTTGATGAAAATATTGAGAATCTCATGAATGATGATTGTGAACAATTTTATAAAGAAAATAAGAAATCCAAAATCAAAGATAAATCAGTTTCAGTACCAACTCAGGGAGATATGGACGCTCTTTTCATTTTAGTGAATGCAAAATGAAGCCTTTTGTACTAAGTCTTGTTCAACCATATGCTGAAAGCTACGTCAAGTCAAGTCGGCACATCACTACAGTTACAGATCTTTTTGACAAAAAATACTTAGAGCTATCATATCCAGAATTACTTAAAGTCTGCATGTCCATAAAGCTTGACATTACTAAAGAGAAAATTGATCAAGTTGAGAGAGACAGAATTAAACAAGCAAAGGGTATAAATTTCTTCAAACACCGAGCAGGCAGGATAGGTGCCTCACAAAGTAAATCAGCTTGTCACACAAACCCTGCCCTACCTTCTCAATCATTGATAAAACAGATTTGTTATCTAGAACTAGCTAAATTTTCAACAGAAGCTACAGAACATGGCTGTAGGCATGAAGCTTTGGCCATTCGCACTTATGAGGAGTTGATGAAGACCAATCATGTCAATTTCAAAATGAAAGAGTGTGGCCTTGTAATTAATGAAGATATGCCTTGGCTTCATGCAACTCCCGATTTCTTCTGCGAATGTGATTGCTGTGGTGAAGGTATAGGTGAGGTTAAGTGTCCCTTATGTCTAGAGAATTGTGACTTTGAAAGCAATGTACAGAAAAGCAATACCTGTCTTACAAAGGCAAGTCAGGGGTGCTACACTTTACCTCATGATCACCCATATTATTATCAAGTATAGCAACAACTGTTTACTACCAAGCGCCCTTTTTGTGATTTTGTTGTTTGTGCCGTTGTATTAGATCAAGTTATGCCTGTGCATCAGCGCATTCTACCTGATAAACCTCACTGGGATTCTGTGGTGCCTAAACTGGAGAACTTTTGGAGGGTGTGTATACTCCCTGAAATATTGGGTAGATGGTCAACCAGAAGGTCTGATGCACTCCCATTCGTTAAGAACTCATCAAAATGTAAAGTATGCTAATGTAGATCTGTAAAGGATGAAGGAACTGTGAAGTGCTGCAATGCCGATTGTCCTGTCAAGGAATTCCATCTTTCCTGTCTAGGGATTGAAAGTGTAACTAAAACATGGTACTGTCCAAACTGCAGGGTATTACCTAAATTTAAACCAGCTCAACGACAGAAAGACACAGTGAACAGGGCAATGAAGCTTGACTCCATTTGTAGTTGTCAAACTTAAGCTACTACATCAGACAAACTTTTAGAATGCAAGAGTGGTGCCTGTGAAAATGGAACATTTTTTCACCTAGCCTGCCTTAATTATAAGCGCATACCTAGGAACAGCATATCGTGGGTATGTAGTTCTTGTGTAATTACCCAAAAGTCGCTTCTCAACAAATCAACTAATTCATCCAAGTCTTCTACAAGTGTTGGTCAGTCAAACCCCACTCCTCAGCCCATCAATGTTAGTCAGTCAAACCCCACTCCTCAGCCCACCAGTGTTAGTCAGTAAATCCCCACTCCTCAGCCCACCAGTGTTAGTCAGTCAAACACCAATCCTCAGCCCACCAGTGTTAGTCAGTCAATCCCTACTCCTCAGCCCACCAGTGTTAGTCAGTCAAACCCCACTCCTCAGCCCACCAGTGCTAGTCAGTCAAACCCCACTCCTCAGCCCACCAAAATTTAGTTGGAGGAAATTTAAAGGGAGTGCGTAACGTCAATGTACAACAACAACAAAATGGAAGCGACTGCGGAGTATTCTCCATTGCATTTGCAACTTGTCTTGTGTATGGACAAAACCCATTAACTGTCACCTTCAACATTTCTAAAATGAGATCACATTTAATAAGATGTCTCCAATCTGGCATTATGGATTTGTTTCCTACCATTTGAATTACTTGGGCATGCAAAATCTGTTTGTAAATGCATTGTTATGAAATTTGCATTTTAGAGTGCTTACACCTATATCCTTGAAATAAAATCTAGACAGTTACTACTTAATTGAGTGGCTTTCATTTGACCATGAAATAGTTACTAGGCTAACAGACACTAATAGACCCTGAGCCAATAAAAACACATTGTTTTATTTTGTTTGAATATGACTTCTAGACACTAATAAACACTGACTATTAGTAATTGTTTCACAGTCATATGAAAATCACACTTGTTCTTATTTAGGCACTATTTACATAGGTAATCATTCAACCAGAACAGTCAAATAAAAGGCAAATACAAATTGTGAGAAACTGGTTGTTACATAGATATTTTAAATGAATTCTGGTATCCAAATATTAATAAATAATTATTAAAACTTATGTGTCTTTGCTGTGTCAATAAAATGCGTCAGGCGATTGGAACTCCCCCCAGGAAAATTTTGACAATTTTAACTCCCCCCTGGGGATTGATGGTACTAATGCTACATTAGCTCCTCAGCCAACAGTTGTTAGATTTACCTGCACTCCCTAATTGTAGGTGGGGGGTTGAGGGTGTTTTCAATTGACTGATAAATAAGATGCAGTAATCAATGAAATGGTACAATGCCTGGGCTCAAATTTGTTAGAGCAGAAGTGATGGTAATAATTCTGTCTATCATTGGCTTTGCATTCTCTTCATTTCTTTTATCACATGCCAAGAACTCTATTGGAAGAATGCTTGAGAGGATAGTGTACTTTCACCAAAGGAGTCCAATTACACGTTCACCATGAATTCGCACATTCGCTATGCCCCTTGTTTTTTCGACGTCTATTGGATCTAACTGATCCCTACCTTTAGTAAAAGCAGGGATCACTAACTCTGCTCTTTGCATTAAAATACTTTCATGGGTAGTGAATCCACGACCTGCCATGACTAACTCTCCTGGTACAAGTTTATTTAGTATCCCACAGTTATCTGTGAGATGTTTATCAGAGGTTCTCCCTTCCCAAGCTTGAGATACAAATGATACGCTTCCTTGAGGAGTGATCCCAATAAGAATTTTAACAGTACTGTGACTTTTGTAAGAAGAATAAGTTTGTGCTCGAGCATAGAGGTTTGATGGTCTGTTGGTAAACACCTCAAAACAATCTATGATTACAGTAACTCTGTTTCCATAAGAAAATTGAAAACATTTGGGCATTGTTCTCCAAAGGTCAGCACGATCAGGCCAAACAATTAACGGTGCCAATCTACAATCCATAACAATCATCCACGCTAGAAAAAATTCTAGAAACGGTCGAACGTGACACACCAAAACGATAGGCCAAATCTTGCATGGGAGCATTCAGTCTTAACTTCATAAGTGTTAAAATGAATTCTTGAAACTTTGAAAGAGTCATTGACTTGCGATTAACATGAGGTGAAACATGTCGGAACACAGTCATTAAGACATCAAATCCTGATATTCCT